GTCGTCCCCCACCAATCTCATAGTATTACCACCGATCTCTCAGTACACGAGGGTACCATTAAATAACACAATATTACCACCGATCTCGTGAGCAAAGCTCATATAATATTACCACCAATCTCATTCATAGTTACATAAAGTCATTATCAAGAGGATTGAGGCTCATCAATAGCCCAATCAAGTATCAATAAAGGGTACAACGCGTTGTACATGATCACACCATAAGAATCAACCAAGTGGTTTCAATAAAGACATGAAGCAATACTCAACAACAATGGACTATAATCCAATACCAAAATGATTGGCAACACAAGTTGCCAACCCTCAACAAGAATGAACAAACTATGCATACTAGCATAACAACATCAAACTAGCATGCTCATCAAACGGGTAAACCAAAATGGCTCCAACAAACCTTCAAGACTCATATTAGTCCAACGAATCACAATGTTGGACCCTTAGCACGATTCAAGACACCAAATCCTAACATGGATTCCTAACACATCGTTCTAGACATACGAAACATCAAGAAGACTCACAAAAGCTCAATAGTCCAATAATGGGAGGTCAAAACATCAAATACCAAAAGGAAAGAACCACGGGGAAAGAATTCCCCGCACTACCACACATGTTCCCCGCGGGTGGGCCACGGGTACTGCCCTGCCCATGGTACTACCCGCGAGGTACAAGTCACAAACCAAGCTCCACCCGCGGGTAGGGCGGCGGGTAGGCCATTGCCCGTCGTTCCGCCCGCGGGGTACATCCCGATACACCAAATTTTTTCCTTCGGGAAAATTCATATCCAAGGTCAAGTTCAAGTCCAGAACACCCAAAACCTCACACACAACAAAGATATGACTTAAACCCAAGAATAGCTCAAAGAAAGGCATTCAAGAACCCTAAATACAAGCTCTAAACATGCTTTATCACAAGATCATGCATCAAATCACTCACAACATCAAGAATCACCAAATAGAAGCCAAGAAACATCAATAGCAAGTATAAAATAGGTTTTGTAGAGCATGGGTTACCTTTGTAGACCAAGAACCTCTTTCTTCTTACCCTCCTAACCTTCTCCTTGAAGCTCTTTCTCACCCAAGACTTCTTACACAACCAAACCACAAAAAAAAAAAAGTAAAAAACACCAAAATAAGATAAAGATACCTTAAAGCTAACTAAAAATACTAAACAACTTAAGATCTTACCCTTTCCTATGCTAGGGAGGTAGAAAGGTGGAACCTTTAGGTGGAACCTTGCAAGGATAGAGAACCCTTCTTCTACCTTGGAGAGAAAGCTATGATTTCTTTAGAGAAAAGGTGGAGTATTTGTGACTTAGCTAACAAGGGGAAATGAATGAAATGTCTTGCTAGGGAAAACTTGAGCATCAAACATGTGTGAAAGGTCAACTTTACCCTTACTAAAGTTAGGAAGACAAAGGGTTGAGGTACAAAGCATAAGGGGCAAAAGGTACAATTGGTTGACTAAGGAGACTAGTCAAATTCTAGTCCCTCGACTATTAAATTTCAGGATTTAGAAAGAAATTATTAAAGGAAAGCTATGATTAATTCCTCAATTAATCACAATTAAGGGTTGGATTTACGGGGTGTCACATTGACTTGCCCACGGGGAAGGGATCTCTATGCTTCTTCCCAATCACACAAATCTCACAGATATGATCAGGGACATTCACAACAGGTAAATCAGAAACAAGTTCATTTCTTGCAAGATAGTTTAATCCATAGAAATGAAAATGTTCAAACCGCATATACCATAACCAATTATCATCACAAACTTCAGAATTAAAGCAAGCAAGGAGAGTATGCTTAATTTTCAAAGGAAATAGTCGATTCTGGGACATATTTACCTTTGCAATCAAAACTCCCTTAGCATCTGCAATGGTACAACACCCCTGAGTAATATTTATCTTATATCCTTTTTCTGACAATTGTCCCATACTCAACAAATTTTGGTGTAGTTCAGGAACATAGAACACATCGGATATAAAATTGTGAGTATCATCCTTCAACTGAATAGAGATTTTACCTTTTCCCAAAATTGGCACCTTTGACTTCTTGCCAAATGTCACTTCAGACCGGACTGATTCATCTAGTTCAGAAAACAATTCGTTCTTCCCACACATATGGTTACTACACCTAGTATCCAAGAACCATATGTTCTTATCTGCAGAAAAACTATCGCTGGCCAAAAGTAAGGTTTCAGAACTCTCACCAGACTTTTCAACAATATTTGCTTGATTTCCACGATTATCCTCATTATACTAGCAATCTGCAATCTTGTGCCCATACTTGCCACAATTGTAGCAATGAAATGGAAATTTACCTTATTTTGTATTAGCTCCACCTCTTCCTTGGTTAGAGTTACCACGTCCTCCTCCTTGGTTGAAGTTACCACGACCTCTTCGACTAGAACCTCATCTTCCTCTTCCACGACCTCTACCAGATCCTCCTCTTTGATTAGTGCCAGTCATATTAAGGGTGACTTGGCTCTTCAAAGCTTTTTCTGCTAGTGGTTTCGATTTTGACGCAATCCTGTCAATATGACTTTCTACCATACCTTTTAACTCTGCAATTGATAAGAGCTCAGTTTTGTGTGACTCTGTGATCGAAGCCACCACATGGTCATACTTCATCGGCATAGTTCGAAGAACTTTTTCAACCACTGCACCATCTTCAATCGTATCTATGTATAACCTCATCTTATTCACCATATCAATAAGACGAGTGAAATACGTATCTACTGTTTCTGTAGAGGTCATCTCACAATTATCATGCAACCTTCTCAACGATTGCAACTTAGACTTCTGTGCCCGATCGACTCCTTTGTTTGACACCTTTAAGATGTCCCAAGCTTGCTTTGTTGTTTGAGCACGAGCTAATTGCCCAAAAATGGAGTAATGAACACCTTGGTGAATCTGTCGCAAGGCCAACTGATCTCGCCGTGTAGCGATTGCATCAGCTCATTCGGGTAGACCGGGATCAACAAAGCTCCAAAGATTTTGAGCTTTCAAATGTGTGGACATCATAATTTGCCAATAATTGTAATCGAGTTTCCCGTCCAATTTGAGACCCGACCATACAATATTGAAATTTGCTGTCATAACTCACTACAAAAAATATCTCGGGGTTGAAAGGTTAACTGACTCTGATACCAAATGTTAGATATATTAAATATAATATATATATATATATATATATATATATATATATATATATATATATATATATATATATATATATATATTTCAGAAGAAGAGAGAGGGAGGAATGAATGCTTTGTGATTCAATTGATGATTTGAATGTTTGATAACACAAACTATTTATAATAAGCAAATAAAACCAAAATGCTAAAAAGAAGGAATTAATGCTACATGCTGCTTTCATCCATACTCCACGTATTGTCATGTACTCCCACATACTGCATACACACCACCCACTACTTAATTTAATTAACAAACTAATTAACTCTTGGTTTAACAATTATAATAATAATATTATTATTATAACAGTATCTGTTCAAACATACTTTCTCAACCTAATGAAACACGCAAAGTCAACAATGACTCACTAAGGCTCCATCTCATGACCTCCCACATGTGAGAGGTCACTACATGTCATCTGAGCATGAGGTGCATGGCAAGCCCATTTGTGACCTAGTTAGAAAAGCAAAAAAAAAAAAAAAAAAAAAAAAAAAATCAAAAGGAAGTAAATCAATTTAGAATGTCCATAATTGATCAACTCAAACTAAGAAAATTATTAGACAGCTTTCGTATTGAGTCAAACTTGAAACCTTGTAACTACCAACCTAACTACGGACTAACTTGGTTGGAGTTGCCCCCATTTTTCATTAATTCTTCTTCTCCCAATTTTCATTAATTTTGGTAAGGAGAAAATTTCAATTTTGGTCCACTGACTATTGGAGTTGTGTTAATTGCAACACTTGACTTTTAAAAATGTTAATTTAGTACCTTGACTATGCAATTTCTATCAATTTTGGTCACGCCGGCCAAATTGTCAGTCAAATCTCACCGGAAAATTTTAATAGGTCAAATAATGAGGATATTTTAGTCATTTTACCCATTTCTTTCTTCTCCGATGAGCTTCTCTATTTGCGGCGACGTTCTTCTCCAGCCAGTCAATTACGCTAACACCTTGACACGCGAACACGCGAACGCCCATTTCTCTTAGAAATCAGAGCTCTAAAGCCTCCTCTCACGAACTTCCTATTCAAAAGTTAACATATATGTACGCACACTTGTTTTGGTATGTATCGCGACAGAGAGTGTTGAGAGTAATAGTGATTGCTAGGGTTTTTGAGAGAAGAGGAGATTTTTGTACCTTGTATTTGGAGATAGAATCATTGAAGGCACTGATAAGCGGAGAATCGTCCCACAGATCATTTCTGCCTTTGCCCATTTCCGCGCGTTCTAGCTGTGAACTCTCAGCTCAAGAACGCCGCCAGAAATGGAGAAGAACGTCGCTAGAAATGGAGAAGCTCATCGGAGAAGAAAGAAAATGGGTAAAATGACTAAAATACCTTCATTATTTGACCTATTAAATTTTTCCGGTGAGATTTGACCTGCAATTTGACCATGACCAAAATTGATAGAAATTGCATAGTCAAGGTACTAAATTAATATTTTTGAAAGTCATGTATTGCAATTAACACAACTCCAATAGTCAGTAGACCAAAATTGAAATTTTATCTTTTGGTAAGCTTATATGATCGATGATGCCATATTCTTTTCTTGCTTCATTAATTATATGTTATCAAAGGTTGTATACATTTTATTTCCTCTTCCAAGTTACGTTGTTACTAGCTTTTGCTTTGCCATATTCTTTCCTTGCTTCATTAAATATGTGTTTTCAAAAGTTGCAAATTAAAGAAGAAAAAGCTAAAAGAGATGCAATAATAATGCGTCCCCTTCAAAAACAATATATGTTTTGGAGTGTGCTGCAAGGCATACCCTGATATAGTATATAATTGATAGATACTCTTTTAGAGTATAAATAACTCATGCAACACTCAGTCTAGCTAAGAATATCAATATCAATAATAATAATAATAATAATATAATGGAGACAATTCCGCAAGAAGCTCCCATCCAAAGCTGGGGTTGGATGATCGGTGATGAGAGTGGAATTGTTGAGCAAATTGAAATCACACATTTTCCAGATGGAAGAGAGATCAATGCCCACTCTATTCTCTCTATCATTACCCACATTTTAAAAGATTGTGCCATTGATGATCCTTCACCAGAAGAGGTAGTGTTTTTTGTCTAACTTTTACTTTAATTAGTTCTTTGGCTAGTAATAGTAATACTTAGCTTCCTTCATTCTGTATGTGCAAATTAAACACTATATATCTAGGATTCAAAAGATGAAGCAGAAACTGTGGATGAGGAGGTGCAACATGAAATACACAAACTTTCACCCAAGGTAATTAGAGGTGCTCCGATCTGTTAAAGTAAAAATTTAATAGTTAGACTGCACATTTATGTTTATATATTATATGTTCAACAATGTACACCCGTCAAGTGTGCGGGTCAATTAACTTTTTTTTTTATGGATTCCAAGTAACACCTGAACTATTTTCACTTTTTATCTTGTATTGGTGCCCGTTACACCAAATTGAAAAATATATGTGCTCCATCTTAAATAATGGCAAATTTTAATTGTGGACCATAGTCCATGTAGCATTCTAACTACATTTCAGTTACATTTGACAATATTACTTCATTTTTCAGCTTCATTTAATTTAAGGGAAAATGGCACTTTTTCCCCCTGAATTATATATTTATAGCACTTTTTCCCCCTCAATTATTTATGTAAGCACATTAGCCCCCTCAATTATTTTAAAAGTGGTGGTTTTTCCCCCTAATATATTAAATTGACATTTCTACCCTTAAAGTAAACATTTTATTTATTTTACTTCTCCAACAAATTATTGCGTATATGTAGCGATTACCACGGTTCGGTTCGAACTAAACTAAACACTATAGCAATCGAATTAAAAATTTTCGGTTATGATTCAGATCTAGAACCCAATATTTGGATTTCAATTTATTAAATTTAAGAATAAAAAAAACTAGATCATGAACCGTGAACTGGCGGTTCCGGATCCGGTTCGCGATTTTGAATAGTCTTTATTTTAAAATAGTCTAAATTCAACAATAAATGTATTTTATTTTTTCAGTTCGGAACATGAACCGACCATTCCGGTTTGCGATTTTAATAAACTCTAAATATCGCATTTTGATTATAAATTGTAATTGGAATATTTTGGTTTGGTTGCTATAGTATCTGCTTGGTTTGAACCAAATTATAGTAATAATTTGTTGGAGAAGAAAAATAAATGAAATATTTATTTTAAATATTTATTTTAAGGGTAAATATGTCCATTTAACATTTTAGGGGGAAAAAGAGCCACTTAAATAATTCAGGGGGAAAAAATGCTATATGTATATAACTCAGGGGGAAAAAGTGTCATTTTCTCTTAATTTTTTGATCCACACACTAGTTTCATTATAGCAATACCAAATACCATTTTAATTATTCTATAGTTTCATTTGACAATATACATTATCGCATGAACTCCATTATTTAATTTTATTTTTACACACACATTTTTTAATTATAATAATGCTGAAGTATTATTTTAATTACACTTCAAGTTCATTTGATAATATATGTTATTGTATGACTCTGGATTTTAGTTTCTTTTTCCACACACTAGTTTCATTATAGCAATACTAAAATATCATTTTAATTATATATACTACAGTTTATTTGACAATATACGCTATTGAAGCTCCCTTTGTTTTTTAGTTTGATTTTCCATACGCACTAATTTTATTATAACAGCATTGAAGTATCATTTTAATTTTACTGACCATGGTCCACACAAGTCCACTATATAACATAACAATAGAATTGTTAACTAAAAGCCTAAGCTGGTACCTGTTGAAGGATTTATGTAATATATATATATATATATATATATATATATATAATATATATATGGTGTTTCCAGGTAGCATACCTGAGTTCAGAAATTGGGGATGTGCATGAAAAGACAGTGGATGTGTTCAACATGTTATCAAACTACCAATGGGAAGCAAAGTTGACACTGGCATTGGCAGCCATTGTTACAAACTATGGGGAGTATTGGGTCGTTGCTCAATCAAATAATCCCCACAAAGAACTAACCAAGATGATGAAGTTTCTGAGGCAAATGGGGGAGAATCCTGCTGACCAGAAATCACACTTTCATGCACTCCATGCTCTATTCCAATCCATGTTGGATATCATCAAAGCAATCTTCAAGATTAAGGACTTCATGCTGCAATCCTCTCATTATGAAACCACAATTTCTTTAGCAACAACCATTACTGTCATTGCTAGCTACTGGACCGTCAGATCTATTCTTATCTCTGCACCTTACATCCATTCCCTCTTCGCAAAGGATTATGAGCCGTAAGATCGATACATTTATTTATTTCAATTTCTGCCATGCATGCATGCATATGATATGATATTATTATATTTTCACACTAAAACTTGATATCATATGATATATATTTCTTTAATTTTCAGATCCGCATCAGCTTCTAAGGAACGGGAACTGCGTATCTTGACTAGGAAACTTGGAGCTCTACTCATGTGTCTTCAAAATCATGGTACGTACGTACGTAAAATCACTTAGCTTCAAATTAATTATAATTTTCAGTGAAAAGTAATTAATATAATATATATAAATATGCAGAAGAGAAAAGCTTAGAGAAACAGCAATGTATTGCTGAGGAGAAACGGTACAGAGAAATGATGTGTGCTTTTGAGGAAGATCATGCTGACAATATGAGGAATCTCAAATTGTTGTTCAAGTCCAAAGGCAATAACAATAATGATGATTTGGCACCAATTGTTGATTGTTCAAACAACCAAAGGGTCTTTCTCAACTCAACTATTTTACTTAATTAAAGACTTCTTTCCATTTTTTATCCCAGGATTATGGGACCATTTCCGATCTCTGACTATTAATTTTTCCACATTTAGTTCTATGATTTTTAAATTATAATCACATTTAGTACACCGACTTAATTTCCACTCACATACAGATGATTTATCTAAAAGAGGCAAAAAAATCATTTTTCCATTACTTTTTTTCTTAAACTTCTAAAGGAGAGATCGGAAATGACAATTTTGACCTTCAAGATAAGTCACTAACCAGAAATTTGGTCACTGGTGATTGAAAATTAGGTTAAAAGGGACCAAATGTGACAAAGATTTAAAATCCGTGGGACCAAAAGTAGAAAATGGTCACATACATAATCATGGGATCAAAAGTAGATTAAAAAAAAAAAAAAAAACTCTTAATTAAATATGCCATTTGTTTAGAATTTAATGCATAAGCCCCAAGCATCTTGTGCTCATATAGCACCTCTGTGGTTCTCCTTGAGGGAAGGTCACATGATCCAACCCTATGGTGGGGTATTGACTCTTTGGCTGCAACAGATAAAGAAAGTATAGAACAGATTCTACTTTATAATAGAAAAAAAAAAAAATTAATGCATGATTTGGTATTCACTTTGTGTGTCAGGTTGAGTTAGAAAGTTTGAAGAACAAGAACGTAGTGCTGATGCTATCATCAGGCATAGACATCTCGAAGAGAATGCTTCATAACCTTGCACAAATCTGGAATGATATCCTTGTTCATAATAGCAGCTGCGAAGGCCATGGCGATGATGAATGCAAACTGATATGGTTCCCCATCTCTAACAACTGGGATGATCCCATGCAGCACAAGTTTGAAGAATTACGTTCCAAAATGCCTTTCTATTCAACAACTGATCCCAGATGCATACACCCAACCACCATTAAATTTATCAGACACAAGTTTGGTTTCAAAAGAGAGAGTATCCTGGTTGTAATGGATGGCGTTGGCAAGATTCTTTATCATAATGCATTTCATGAGTTATGGATGTGGACAGCCATGGCAAGAAGTTTCATCACAGAGAACCCCAGTAGTAAACTTGCGCCCTTCCCTCTTTCAGTGGAACTACTGCAACAATACTATTGGAAAACCCATCACTGGAGCCTCACAGATCTGTTTTTGGGCATTGATGACAAGACAATAGAATTGGTATGTCCATCCATCCATCCATCTTCAAATCCGGCTTTTAATTTTCCTTTAATTTGCAAATATTCAATTCATATATAGCATTACATATTCATCATATGTAGTATATACACCATACCCTTAGCTTTTTGTTGGGGGGAAGCTAGTAAATGGTCAAGTTCAGCACCAGGTGGCACCTTGCAAGGTGAACCCTGGTCCTACACGACCTATAAATTGTGCATTTATAGTATTGAAATTATGAATTTCTAAAATATAAATTGTATTTCTAAGTCAAAACACATCACAACTATAGAAGGAAATAATTTGTGAATACAATACAGGGTTATCAAATCCTAATCTGTTAACATTGTGAATACAAAAAAAGGTGATCACTTACATATATGTTAACATTGTGTGTTCATAGTATACAAATTATGAATTTTTAAAAGATAAATTGTGAACATTTGAACCGGGGTCTACAGAATAATTTGCGGGCTAGAAAATGTTAGTTGGGCGAGGCTTGAAGGGCCGGGCCAACTCCAACATCCTGCCTCTAAAAAATTAAATAAAATTGCTCATTTAATTTGTTACGAGAACTATACCTTTTGGCCTAGTGGTAAGGGTTTAGCTTGACCCTAACACTTTTTTTATTATATTATTGTTTAGATTTCTAAAACAAAACATGCGTGGATAATTGGAGGGGACAACATGGAATTGGTTAAAAGATTGGAGACCAACATCAATGCTGTTGATCAAACCTACGAAACCATCTCTGGCATTGTGTACATGGGGAAAAGCAGCAGCTGCAGGGGAAAAGACAGAAATAATAATGTTACCTGGGAGATGAGTGGTAACAAGCAGGTGGAATATCGCCATAGCTGGGAAGATGATGAGAAGAAAACATGGTTGTTTTGGGCTCGAGTTGAGAGCATGCTCCTGTCCAGGCTTCATTTCTTGAGACGATTATCATCAGGGCATGATGATGAGAATGAGGACGAAGCAGCAAAAACTCTCAAGAAGCTGCTGAGTTACAACAATAATCCTCAAACATGGGCCATATTTTGTTGTGTGAAGAAGGACAACTCGGGGGAATGGAAGAATGAATATTATTACGGAATTGAGGATGGATTGATAATGTTGGATGCAGTTTCAAAGTTCCAGGGGGAATGGGAAGAATGCTGCAAATTTCTTCAAGCCAATAGTAGTCATGCCCTCGGACGTTCCCAGCGGGTGCAGTTCTACACTCAGACTCTGCAGGGAAGTATCATCAAGTGTCCAGACTGTTATGCCGACATGGAGAAGTACACTGTATTGTCCTGCTGCCACCATCTCTAACAACATATATAGCCATTATTGTGCTTTAATTTGCTTCTGCTCTCATTTGTACGTTTCTTTTTTCAAACTTAAAATACTGCCTACTAAATCACTAAGCTAAATTTGTGCAAACTCTTGAAAGTTACTCCGATCTGTATCTACAGTATGTTGAAGTTAATTAATTGCAATTGGCACACACACATGTATGTATGTATGTATGTTAAATGGGTTCATTCCCGTGCGGTTGTGCGGTGCGTGGTTTTCCTTCTTAAAGAATAACATTAATAAGTGGCTCGGGCTATCAGGCTAGTCCGTTCGGGACACTGGCTTTATCAGTTTCGGGTTTATCGAACTAATTTTTATCGAGTTCGAGTCTAACCCTAAAAATTTTTGATTTTATCGGGCCAACCCATTGAACTCAGACTAAGATTGGCATCCCTACTAATAGGCAATTTATATCATGCACCACGGCGCACATAGCAATGTGCGCCCAAGCACAAAACGAGCGCGTTTCAATTGCTGACGTCACTCCGTCCGTCCAAACGGCCAAAACCCCATTATGTGTATTCAGTTAAAAGTTTCTGTGTATTGTGTTAAGAGTTTCTGTGTATTCAGTTAAGAGTTGATGCATATTCAGTTAAGAGTTGATGTGTATTCAGTTAAGAGTTTTTGTGTATTTAGTTACGAGTTTCTGAGTATTCAGTTAAGAGTTTCTATATATTATGTATCATGTTAGATTATGTGTATTCAGTTATGAGTTTCTGTGTATTCTGTTATAAGTTGATGTGTATTCGAAACAGAGAAATTTTTTTGGATAATGCACCAAAACGACGTTGTTTTGGGAGGCGCGGGGCGCACATTGCTATGTACGCCCTGGTGCACGGTATAACGATTGCTACTAATAGGAGCCAAGAAATGGGGGCCCTATGGATGGATGGATGGATAATAATGGATAAATTAAAGTTAAGGGACCAGAAATTTTTACCAAATCTTTTATCATTTGAGTTGACAATGAAACTCATTTGTTATTGTGAAGGATGAAGCTACAAGGATCAAAAATTTTCACCATCTGACATGGCAATATGAGTACCTTGACTCGAAAGATTCAAACTGTACGTGACTGTGTTCAAGAACAACATAAATAAATTGTGCAATTTTGAATTGCTCCAATTGAGTATTATGCTGTGCTAATATTAATGGTTAAGATGATGCAGAGAGACGGGTCCGAGAGAGATGACATATATAATATCGAGTGTGGGTGGATTCTTTTGAGATAGACCATGCTGCAGATCAGATAATACAGAAGAATTGAGGATTGCAAATGCAACAATATAATGGATGTTGAGAAGAAAGAATTTTGTGTTAAACATTTCTCGAGTCCCTTTAAGACAAGTGTAGAATTTGTAACTCTAGAGGTTGACTGTTAGGTTCATAGATTTTGCAAGTTGAAGGACTCCAAAACACCATATGAAACATCTAAGGAAAATAGATAAATCATATCTTCAACCTTGGGCATGCAAAAGAAGTCATGATAACAATTTAGTCTTGTAGAATAACTAACTAAATGTGCTTTCTCGTTTAAGTTTGAAGAAAATAATTAACTATATATTGCTTCAAATGACATGGAAATCTACATCACATCCTAACATGCATTGCAAAATCATGGAATTACTTTACCTCTGAGCAATTATTTGCGCCCACTGGTTCTCTCAAGCAGGCTGATATTGCCATAACAGCAGATTCAATAGACGCATCTTCACCCTGTTCACCCATCAGGTAGCAAATAAGTATAAGTAAGTAGCGATTTTTATTACGACTCTCAGCTTCTGAATGAATATTATTGCAACTCTACTTTTACCAGTCCTATAAATACATCCCTTCATGGACTCTGTAAACACGATTGATCAATAGCAAAACTCTCTCTAGAAATTCATTGTTCTCATATAGTATCATAGCCCTAATAATTTTCAAGTGAAACGTAAAAAACATGAGACAATAATATACTCTAACCTTTTCCTTCCAATAAAATATGTTCCCATATTTCCCAGCCAAACGGCTCCAGAAGCTACGCGGAATGTCTAGATCCACAGACGCTCCAACATTGAAGTTTAGTATGTTGCCTGTTTGTAAGATGAATTTAGCATGTTGCCTGATAAAGAAACTTAAACGTAATTATGAACAGATACTGCATTGTAATAGTAGTCAATAGTACTCAGGAAAAAAAAAAAAAAAAAACTCAAACGTGTTTCCCGATCAAAGTGAAGAGGCAATGATCTCCAGTCCTTTTACCAAAAGTAGGATCAGCAACGAAGACTATAGTCCTGTCATCCACTTCCCAGAAATCCTTGATTGCTAATCCTGCAGATATTGGTGTAAAACATTATGGTTTCCTTGATAAAGATTTGGGTGAATTTTAAATGCTAAGACGTAAAACATTGTACCTGGCGTTTCAGGGTAGTTCTGAGCCAAAACTCTCAACTTGAATCCAGTATCCTTTTCGATATCTGCAATCTCCTGTGCAAGTCTTTTCTCCTGCAGATAAATCATAAACTATGAAAGTTCTTCTTTACGTTTCCAAATATTTTATGTGCACTTCATATCCAAAACCATTTTTTATGAAATGTGGTATACAAACAGAATGGGATACGACTCATAGACACTCAAAAACTATATCAAAAACTGTTAAAGTAGAATGCTGGGCACAGTTACTACGAGGGTTTTTGTCTCACTTTACTGGCAGGGTTATTTCTTAATTCATATCTAGCCATTCTATATTTCTATGAGCTCTGGATAATGCATCGAGTATCGAGTAGATCAAACCTTACACGCCAAATAACTCGATGCTGGATTATGGAGAGTAGAGTGCCCCCCACCCCCTTTACTTCATAAAGCTACTCCTTCAGTATTTGTCATTAAAAAGAGATTACCGATTTTATTTTAGAAAAACACAGTTGACATTGATCACAAAAGTCGTCATGACTAATAAACAAGAGATTTAGCAGGTTATCTTAGGAAGAGCAAGCACCTATACCAAGAAAAGATAGATTATGCTGGGGTCCAAATTAGTTAGGCTATTAGACTTGGTAATCACAAGATTACAAGTTCGACTCCCAATAAGAGCGGCCGATTTGCCTTCATGGTTTGAGTTGGTTTATCTCCTTCCTTCAGATAGTTACTGCGATTTCCCTCGTCACTCGAAAAAATAAATAAATAAATAAAAATAAAACAGATAGATTATGCCCTAAATGCTAAGCATATTTACTCAAAGAAATCCCAATTCAATTGAATAGGGGCATAGACCAGACCTGGCCATCTGAGAGAAATCCAGCAACATCAATAACAGTGGTAAACTCCTTAGGAAGCATTTCCGGCTTGTTAACCCCTACCTTCCCCTCCGCAAATCCAACTCCTACAAATTTCACTTTCTTTACTTACTGCATCCTAATCCAAGAAAACCATTTCCCACAAAATCAACTCTGAAAACATATGCAATTTAAAACACACAAACAAAGAAAAAGCATAGAATATAACAGATTAACTTAACACTAACTCAAGACTAAGAATATAATTAGGATTATCAAGATTAAAAGTACCAAGAGGGTTAAAGAGAAGGGAGGGAGGATTAGTAACCTGAGAAGGACAGAGCGAGAGCCAGAGAGCCAGAGAGCAAGAAATTCACAGTCTTGGATTGCAAACCAGCATTTACTTTGATTGGCTTCTTCTGGGTTTGGATAGCCTGTTTGTGTTTGGAATGGGAAAGCAATGCTTTTCTGGGGCTACTGGAATGGGAATGGTCTGGAGCTGAAAGAGATATACAGAGTGGAGGAAGAAGAAGATGCGAGGAGGCCATTCCAAAATCCACACTTTGTGTGATGTGCTGATGCGACACGAATTTACAACCCAACTAATCCAACTATACAAGATTGTTAAATGTCAACTACCAAATTTTTATTTTTATTTTTTTGAAATGCCAAAATTTCATTTTTTTTTTCCACTAAAATATTAAATGCCATTACAAATATTTCATCCCTACCATTTTATTAATTTAATTCATATAAAAAAATATTTAGTATATTCAAAAAAATAAAAAAAATATTTAGTATCTTCAAAAAAAATAAAGAATATTTAGTATGCATAAATACACCACAACATGTTTAGAAATGCATCACGGTGAAATGCACAAATGCACCACACTCCTGTGCATTTTTGAATACATAGTAGTGCATTCTTGCATACAAAACAATGAAAACAATTCTAATATTTTTGACAGAAGGGTCGAATTGGCCCATCTACTACTCACAGGAAAATTTTACTGTGGACCATGATCCAAAACGGTGTCATTTCTTTTAATGAAAAGAAACGGCACCTGTTTCGCGTAATTAGTTCTGTTTGTATAGCATATTCAGTTTCGTTTTATATACATTGTAGTTTCATTTCAGCACAACTAAAGTTTCATTTTGTTTCAATTACAATTTCATTTGACATTATACATAAACAGTCTTATTACAGTGAGACATGTTATTTCTTTTTTTTTTTGGTTGTTGTCTTTTTTTTTTTTTTATACTAAAAAAGACACTTTTATTAAAAACCAAAACAACGTCTTGCCAAGGCCCAAAAGTGACCAAGGCTACAAAGAGATGAAAGAATAAAGCAAAGAGGCCTAAGGCTAACTAATAAAGGAGATAAACTCTAAACCACCAAGTGGGCCCAACACCCATTCTACAAACCATCTGTACCACATGCAAAGCTGGACAATTCCTGGGCGTCATGCCCTACACAAAGGGTGGGAACGGTGCTCCAAAACCAACGAAGGATTAGTTTCACCCTCAAGTGTTAGGTTAATCCCCCGCGGTTCAGAGCTCTGCATTTTTATCCGATGGGACCTATGTGACCATCCACAGAAGCAATGAACCAGCCTCCCGATACCCTACCACCCTCATGCGTTGGACAGATCCCCTCCGGTACAGATCTCTGCATTTTTATCCGGGGGGACCGTGAATAGTCCGCCACATGAGCAATGGTTCTCACCTCCACCCACCCTTGGAACCCAGGCCACCCCCGTTGTAACACCCCAAAATTTTTAAACTTTTGAAGCTTATATAATAAAGGTAAATTCTCATTAAATCCCAAAACATAATATAAAGAGTACAGGGTGCTATGCCACACCTGAGCTAGAGAACTCAGGTGCACAGGCTAACTAACTAATATTCTCAATAATGTAAATGTATAAGCATGGCACGCAGGCCGAAAGGAAAACTATCTACTTCTACGCTTCAAGACTCTAGCGCGCTCCAGTGTCTACTCCTCTGTGCCTGAAAGCCAAATATATCTGTTCAGCGAGAGATGCTGGTAACCCACTCCAACGCATTGAAATACAATACATATAGATATATACATAGATATATGAAAACCATTTCGAAGCATGAAGATATATCCTAAGAGACTCTAGCTTTCAAAACAGGGAATAGACTCGACAGATATGGATAAGCACAACCAACAGTCATAACCAAGCATGCACAATTCACAGGTGTAGGGAACAGATACGACAGATAGAGATAAGCACAGCTAATAGTCATAACAAGCATATACAGTTACTAGCATGTATCCTAGGGTCACGCTTTCATAACAATCCAATCACCCATATCTCATCACATAGCACACTTTGTTGGCGCCACAGGACCAATCGCATGTCCATACATGAGGGTCAGCGCATATAGCTCTGACACGGCCCCGCAGCACCCTGCCCCGTATCGCAACACGGAGGGGTCGATCGCAACCGACCGATGAACCGCAGCTCATCATAGTTTGATCGCAACCAAACAGTGGACCGCAGCCCAAGAGTAGTCATCTGACCGCAGCCAGGAATATGAACCACAGGTCATGTAAAACGTTTGATCGCAACCAAACGGTGGACCGCAGCCCGAGAGTGTAAATCTGACCGCAGCCAGCTTCTGAACCGCAGCTCAGGAATAACCAATTCGATCGCAACCGAATTGGGGTATCATGCATACATAACACATAGCAAACACATGCAACCCACATTGACACATTGGGAAGGGGAAGAAATCGTATAACGAAACCTATGCGTGATCATTCACATACTAAGAATAATCCTAAGGGGTTCATACTTCTTACGCCTAGGCCAACGGGATACCAATTCAACTAGCATGCGATATATAAGATTTATTCAACCTACGAATGGTACCCGAACAACGAACTAGACATAGGCACGATAGACGGAGTCCGTTGGGACACCACGGGGGTCGGGGAACATCAAACGGGGAAGCCGAAATCCCAAAGTGGGGTAAAATCCAGCGGGTAGTCGGTGGGTGAGGGGTCACCCGTCGGCGTCGTGATTCCGGGCAGCGGGTGCCCGGCGGGCAGTCGCCTGCCCGCCGGCTGCCCGCTGCCGGCGACTTCAAAGCTGGCCGCGGGTAGGTGGCGGGTCCCCTACCCCCCACTGACTCTTTCATCACAAAAACGCCCCGAGAACTTTAGTGGAACCCGGAACCATGCTTAGACACTTTCAAACGCAATTGATAACAACACGTAGACAATTAACGGATCAAAAGCAAGAAACATACGGCACATATCCTATCATGCTTTTCTAAACATAATTAATACCCGAACATGCGAATTCCCACCCAATACATCAAGAATAACACCATACGAATTTCACGATACGGCCTAGGGCTCTAGACTCATTCAATTTAACAAGAACACAATTCCTCTTTAAACATCAAGAACAATCAAGAATGACACATAATCATCAAGAAACTAGGTTCCATCAAGAATCACGCAATCATCAAGAATCCCTTTTCATCAACAAGATTATCAAGATCGCCCATGGAATCATAACACCAATTGTCAAGAACAATATAACGAATCATCAATACACAAGAATATGGGAAAATCCTAAGAGGGGAATCATAGCTATGAAAATAGGTTTTGTTGAGACATGGGTTACCTCTTAGCCTTAATTAATTCCTTGGCTATGAAGGGTCTTTCTTTAAGCTTTCTTCTTTCTTGATTTCTCCTAAGGGGATTCTTGGAACTTCTTGTGTGGTGAGAGATTATTGTGGTGTAAGATTTAGGTGCCTCCTATGATCCTATATATATATATATATATATATATATATATATATATATATATATATATATATATATATATATATATATATATATATATATATATATATATATATATATATATTCCTAAGAGTCATAATTGGGGTCTAAATACTATGGGCTTGCTAATTCCATTCCTTATAGGACTAAGGACTTGTTTTAGGGATAAGGGTCCATGGTCCATAGTGGTCCATATTAATTAATTAAAGAGAATCCTAATCATAATCTGAATAGTAAAAGGCCTACTTCCTTTATTCCTAATAGATAACTAGGTCTAGGATTCCTAATTAGAATCTGAATAGTAAAAGGTTTACTTTCTTTATTCCTAATAGGCTTAAGACTCTAATTTAGGCAAGGGTCCACGGTTCATGGTGGACCTTATTAATTAATTAAAGGAAAACCTAACCGAATTAAATTATATTTAATTATTATTAACGGGATTAATTAAATAATTAATCCGGGATTGAAGGCCGTAACACGGGGTGTTACACCTGTACGTACAGAGCTCTGCATTTTATTGTACAGGGCTTCAACGGCCCAAAGTCCCAAGCGATGGCTCCCTAACCACTGGTGCCAACATATATACCACCCTTAAGCGTTAGACCAGCTCCCTCGGTATAGCGTACTGTATTTTAACACGGGGAACCTGTACGGCCATCCACAGAAGCAATAGTATATATGCTAAGCACCAGAAGCCCACCTCACACCCACCCAACCCTTTATAGAACAACCAGCCTTTTCTTCCAATCGCTAACTCAAGCAAATTACTTAAAGCAGACTAAGAGAGCACTCCCACCTTAGAGTGTATGCTATGCATGAAACACAGGAATCAAATCCCGCGAAATACACAGCCACAGATAGAAGCAGGACATGCACAGAGAACACAGAGCAGAAAGAGAAAACCCCCAATATTGGAAAGCCCCCTACGCCTTATGCCGGCACGGCCAACTACTCAACTAGCCCAGCAGAAAACAATAAAACATGAAGTAAAAATACAAGTCTGGGAAACTCCGCTAAAGAAATAAATGAAAAATAAATAAGGAAAATAGAGACGCGGCTCGCAGGCCAAAAATACAGGCACGCAGGCCACACAAAGTACAGGCCAGCCAATCTCATCTCGACGGCACCAGCAACGAACAGTAACCAGAATCCTAACGGGATTAGCTACTATGGCCCAACAGCAAACCTGACTAGGTCAACGGATTTGATAGATCCTGCCCGGCCATCGTTCAGCCCGTACTAGGGTGCCTCTTGCCTCTTTTTTTTTCTGTTTTAAAATGTGATACAATTCATCAAAAGCAAAACCATAGTTCAAGGCGGGTCATAATCATCAAAAACCACCGATGGGATATCATCAAGAACAAGCAACGCACGCACCCTCGGCGGTAAGTCTGACAAATTACGGAAAATAAACTCCCCATCCTTATCCCCAACCCAATCTGCCAATGCAGCCACTGGGAGGTTACCTTGCGGCAAACACTGAAGAACAGATACAGATGCACAGGAACAAAGAAACCGAAGTCGTGACACTTCAGAGTCAAAGACCCATGGACTAGGTGCGGGGTCTACATAACCCTTAAGCTCAGGCAATACAGACTCTAAGACCAGGGACCTAAAACTCTCGGCTAAACACCATTTAAGAGAGCGGTGCATACCAAGGAAAAAGTCCTGAAACCCGTCGACTGCCGAAATGGCTAGGCCGTAGCAGAAACCACCCCCCCCCCCCCCCGATTACGTACCAAGGCAGCAGTCCCACCCAACGACTCAGAATATGAAAAATTGAGCTTTATAT